TCTGGGAAACAGCAGCAGCAGCAGCGAGCAATGGAGATGGGCACCAGCGAGTTCCTCCTGAGGCGGCTCTGTCCAGTGAGCCTGGCGTCCCGGAGGGTCGTTTGTCCCGAAAGCGGAAGGAGGAACCTCGGACGGGGTGTGTGCTGCCTTCGTCGTGGGTGCGACAACGTGGGTCGTGTGCCCTTGGGGTTCTTCAGTGGTCAGCCGTGTGCCGTCAGGCTAGCTGAGCCTTCGGGTGGGGTCTGCAGAGACCCGCTCGGGGCCCGATCCTCGCTGGAATCGCAGTTCCCGCCCCGCCTACAGAGAGGAACTAAGAAGTTTGGTTTGTAACCACGGGTGCTTTGGAGCTTGTGGCAAACCGAGGTGGAAGTCCCAAACTTTACTGTGAAAAAGCGAATGTTGAGGGTGAGACGTTGCACCTGAGCAAGTCTGGAGGCCACGGCAGAGCTCAGAATGACTCGGTATTTGTGCTTGGGCAAAACATCGCTCAGGGTGTGGTTATGGTTCACGTATGAAACTGGAAACAGCGCAGCTCTCTGCTCGGCACCGAGAGCCCTTGTAGTTGTGTTAAGTTTTGTCACTCTGCTTTTAAGAAAACAGTAAATCTACTTAGGAAAAGAAAGTGACAGATTTAGGAAACAATCTATGGAAGACAGTAAAGGAATGGCTCCCTTTTGTCTAAAAAAAGATTAGGGAATGAGGTCTTAGTTTTCTGGCCTTTTTTCAGTTAGATCTGTTCACAGGTTTAGACTTCTGATTCTGTTGCAGCTACGCAGGGCGTGTGGTTGTAGCACAGGGCGTGTGGTTGGCCAGGTACTGTAGGGAGCTTTTGTAGTGAAGTGGGTATTGTCCACCAAATTCCTGTTAGCTGGATCTGTGACTCTATTGCTGAACAGACTGTTTTGTCCCAGAATGGGTTTTGTTCTGATTTTGGCTTTTAGTGGTTCCAAAATAATCTTAAACTTTTGGAAGAGTCTTACTTTATGTTAGTTTCTTACCCAGTTAGGTTTAATGTTTGTGTTGTCTGTGGTGTTACTTGTTTCTCCTTTATGCATGTGAACTTCTGGGGTTTTTGAGTGGATTCCTTTCTTTTGCAGTTTCAAAAACATGGAAAGATTTGAGTTTGTTATTCCATTCTGAAGTTTAAGAGAATGTATTTTAAATACCATCTGTAACAACCAAAGGTGTTTTGATCTCTTTATAACAGCTGGTACTTTGTAGAATTTGTTACAACATCAGTCACTTTTTTTCCTGTGCAAAGATCACAAATCAGACTTAGATTTAGAGTCTCTAATTACCTCGTTATCAGTTTTTACCCAAGGAAAAACTGATCAGTGAAACATTTATTTTAGTGAACCAATTATAAAAATAAGTTTCTGATATTTGATTTTGAAATCGTGTCTGTGAGAACTGTCTCGGCTCATTGCCTGGGAATTTTGCTTGCAGAAGGACAGAAGTACAGTGTTTTCAGTAGGGATGAGTTCTTGTGGAACGTGCTCCATTGAGACATCTCTGTTAGGTCCTCGTCCAGTGTTGAATGTACACTTCCTTCTCCTGAATTCCTTCCATACAGAATTGTTGCCATGGAAGTTCCAAGTTTTCTAGATGTTGCATAGTTTACCCGGTAAGAAGTAACCTGCAGTGTGTTCCTACCTAGTGAATTTTATGTTGTTTTTTCTTCTAATGGAAGTATGGGAAGTATGAGGGAATAAGGTCTTAAAAATCTTGAAGAAATGCAAGAGTCATCACACATGACAGGGCCTGGGCCGGGGGGAGGGGGGAAGGAATGTACAGATGTGAATGCACAGAAGTGAGGTTGAGAGCATTGTATCCACAAAAAAAGGGTAAGAGAAAGGGAATTAGACACACGGTTTAGCGCTGTCGAGGAAAATTTGTGCCACATTTTGTCACGAAAACTTTCAAGGAGAAACTTTCTATGGAAGCCTGAGAATAATCGTGGCTTCTGTTTTGGGAAGAGATAGGAAAGGGGTGAATGGATTTCCAAATTATTGGCATAAAGACTTGAAATCTGTGTGAACAGCCAGGATTGTGTGCTGAAATCGTGTTAGCAGTCCCCTCGGCAATTACCTGGCAGCGGAATGCCTGTCACAGTTTCTCAGGGGTGTGTATCTTTAACAGGGATGGCGCTGATGGTACCGATGAAGGCCAGCTGGCACGTGGCACAAATGTCGCCGTTCCTGGCGGAGCCAAGTCTTCTCATAAAAATGAAGACCTGTCTGATAATGAACTGGATGAATATGATTTGGAAAATTACGATGAAGAGGAATACACAGGTAAGAAAAATTTAAGTGTCAGTGTAAGTGAAGAACCTTTTCACCACTTGTTGTGCTTAAAAAAACCTACATGGTGCTGTGTTTCAAATGCTGGAAATTCACATTTTTAATTATTTGCTTGACACTGTCGTTTAGTGAATGAAACAATTCAGCATCCCCCTGCCCTGACACTAGAACCGAGAAGCAGGGTTGGAAAGATTGTCACTCCCCCCTGCTGCCGTGCTGGAGCAGAGCAGCAGAAGTCCCTGAAAGCACTAAGCAATTGAGCTTACTGAGGTTCTGATGTTTGGAACTTGAAAGTCTGTTTAGCCCGCTCCTGATACAGCAATACAGCTGTTGGTACAGGAGTTTCTCAGTTCAGCTGTCATTGACATGTATAAAATGTTCTGAAATTCCCATCTAGGTGATCTAAAACTTGGAGACTCTTTGGCTACTTTGGCAGTATATGGGAGTAACGATCATGATCCTTACATCACTCTAAAAAGCACTGTAAGTACTATAAAAACATTGAATGTCTTAAACAGCGTAGACTTAAAAATCAGTTACGTTTTCCACGCTGCCTTAGGGAGTGTAAGTGCCTGCGGTCCTTTTCCAAAGGTGTGCCAGATTTTTGATCAGACAGAACTCTTTTCCTCTAAGTTTGCTTGGTGCAATCCCCTCTACCTGTGCTTTTTACCGTTAAAGTCAGATGTTAAGGCAAACTGGCTCATTATTTAAATTTAAAAAAAAAAACATATTAAACTCTGTACGTCGAGTGGTTTGTCACATATCTAGTCAGACACAGAAAATGCTTGAAGAAATAGTAATCTCAGGCCACTAATGACCCGAATTAGAAAACTTCCCAGACTCACACCTCCCACCAGTTTGTGGAAGAAACCAAACTGAGGTGGACTTGGGCTAGGTGTCAAATTGGGGGTGAGGCATGAGGAAATAAGTCCCCGTTCAGCATATATGCACAGCATACTGTGAAGCTGACTGCTTCTGCCTGTATTAATTTCCACCAAGTATCAGATGAGGAACATCTCTGCCAGGAGCTGGCTTTGTAGGAGCTTTGTAGGGGGTGAAGATGTCTCTGACTGTAGTCTGACACAAGCCAACTGTGTCAACAGTGCTGTCCTGTTTGTCTTTTTCTGGTGAACAGGGACGCAGCCTGCAAGGCACGAGGCAATCCTTCTGCTCCATTTAACATTGGTGTTGCCTTAGCTAGGATGTTGGGTGCCTCTTCAGAAAAGCTAAGGAGAGATTCCAGAGGATGTCCCACAGTTTCATTGAGAAGGATAGATTGCAATTTGTGATTGACTTAATTTACATGGAGAGATTACGGAAATCAGTTAGAAGGTGAAGTTGTGTGAGAAGTGACAACATGATCTAGAGAGCAGCCAGGAGAGACTGTGATCATCTAGGGCAGGGTGATGGAGTAGATGAGTTTTGGTGACCTCTTCTAAGCATAAAGATGCTGAGATTTTTCTGGGTGCTGTCTTTCCCATACTATTTTGGATTCTTTACAAAGCCAGTAAGATTGGAAGAAAAGAGCAGCTGTAGGTTTCTACCACAGCGTCTAGTTTGTGTGTCAGGGTACTTTGTCAACATGTGTCATCTCAGACAGGGAGTTGTTATGGTGACTTCACGTAACAAAGCTCCAAGAAGAAGGCATAAGTGTTATCTTTAAAATGTATTCGCTTGCTATGTGCACTTTGGGGCACTGTATGTTTTGTCTGTCTTCCACTGACTGGTTCATGATTTTTCTTGCTCTTGTGTACCAGTAGAGGAGAGAAATACTTTGAAAATTATTTTTATAGTCAAAGGTATTTGCACAGGGGTTCAGAGAGAATGTGAGCTGCACTTATTCCGTGTCAGAAAAGCTACCTTTCTTCCAGACATAGATAAAATGAGCAGGTTTTTCTCAAGCCTTTCTTCCTAGGCTCAAGTCCTTTCCTTAAATTCTGAAAGAGGGTACTTTTTAGTTCTTCAACATGCATTTGATGTTGTCTTTTGGTATTTAGGACTGGTACTGTTGAAGACTAAGTATTATGTAACATTAAGTTGATTAATTCAAAGAATTGCAGTCCTCGATAGAATTCAGATATTTAAAAGATTCTTGAAGTGAACAAAAAAAGAAATTAAAAGCTTGCAACAAGAAGTCCAAAAAGTCTTGTATGTGTTTTATATTTGAAGGATGGTACTCTCTGTGTGTAAGGCTATTGACTTTTATGTACGGTTCTTGGTTTTCCACTAACAAAAATTCCCCAAATGCCTTCCATTCCTCAGTAACAATGAAAATGAGATGAGAGGTTACAGCTGTTCTGGTACAGCTGAATGCCCAGTATAGCTGTAGGCGGTATTTTTCTGGAAATATTTTCCAGAAAGCAGACAATGCTTTAATGCTCTTGGAATTGCTTCCTGGATGTGAGGGACAGTTACAATATGCTTATTGTGTAAAATCTTGTTGCACTGTATAAATGCTGAAGGCATGAGTGCACAAGGGAAATCAGCTCTGTATGTGGGCTCCTGGTGGTGATTCTGTTTTCAGCTAGGGGCTGCATCATGGTAGCCTCAAAATACAGTTTCATATTTGGTAATGAAACGTACCTTTAAATCCACCTAGGTCCACGTAAACAGTCCTTCAGCCTATATAATAGCTATTCAGTCTCCCCGTGATTGAATCTGGTTCCTGCCTTTCTCTGTTCACCACCATAAGGTGGTTTTAGGCGGGTGGGCAGCAGCGTGTTTTGAGTGTTTTCAGTTATAGTTAAAAATTATTACTGGTTCAACCTTTTGAATGTGTAGTTTTGTGTGTTTATGTGCTTTGCTTAACTTCCGTTGTCCTCTCCTCTTTGCCATTCAGGATCAATATGAACAGGAGGACTTCATGATTAAGCCCAGTGACAATCTTGTCCTTTGTGGCAGAGTCGATAAGGACTACTGTAGTTTGGAGGTCCATGGTAAGTAAGATAGGATGTGTTCCTTACAGTGAACCTAGGGGATATGTCCTGCCGAGCCTGTTCCATATGGCTGTGTAGAAGAGGGAGGGGGTTGGCCTTTGGAAGGTTTGGGTTTTTTCCTCCCCTTCTGCCCTGTGTTTTGCCCTCTTTCCTATGTCATAGTACTTTAGGCACTTTGCAGAACTAGAGTATTTCATGTGGAGTTATTGTTATTTAGAGGATAGTGTGCTTTTTCCAGGCTGTATAGCATTTCCTTTCCTTATTTCATTTCTAATGACACTTAGAAAATACTATGGCATTTTTGTTCTCTAAACATACCGTCTTTCTTCCAAACAGTCTTACTGCCCATATCATGCAAGCTTCCTCTAGTGGTTTGGTTTTTTATTGGGGTTTTTTCTTTCAGCCTTCTCCTTGCTTCTTTAAATGGGATTTCCACTGCTGGGAGTAGAAAAATCAGCACCTTTATCATCTTAGTTTTTAGAAGAGGTGATCCTTAATAAGGTCTGAATAACACTTGCTCTAGGGATGGCTTTAGTTTTACTGTGTAAAAGATTTGTGTGTTGCAGCAAGGAGTATTACTGAGTGTGCTGAAGTTACCGTATTTTCTTACAGTGGTTCTTTGGGGGAATGTTTCTGGCTACTTCTGCTATGGTACATGTTTCTGCAAGCAGAGTATTCTGTTTTCTTAAAACAGCAAGACCAAAGTGTTTGAAAGCATCTCTTCAGATACCAGCATCTGGCATTTTCTCTGTCTGGAGGTGTTTACAAATTTTATTAACTGTGTTATTTTCCCGATGTAAATTTCTAAAACAATAGCAGAGGCTTCTGCAGTTTATAACGTTGGGTAGCCCTGTCTTAGTTAACTACTAAGGCTTAGTTAACTGAAGACTTCAGTTAGTGTCTGAACATCTGTCACACGCACTTAAAAATGGCACAGTGATTTTGTGTGTGTGATGATACTGTGTTATTAAAATAATTGATATTTGCTCTGCTATTGAGTTAGTAAATTCTTCTGTTATAAGGAGAAAAACAGCTGGCCGAAGGGACTGCTGTGTTTAGTGTATGGTTGTTTTACCAAAACTCTGCCTGTATCTCAGTTACAGCCTGCTGAAGGTGACTTCATCTGACTTCTTCAGCTTCCTCTAGTTTGAAAACTGTTTGTCTCTTGCCTTCATCTTCCCTTCGATTTAATCTGGAATTATTTCTTTTTTTCTTTTTTTTTTTAAATTTTTTAAATTGCTGATTCTGTAAAATTAACATCTAAATCTTCATTAATGTATCCTGATGTAGAATGTGGTGGATACGGAGTATCTATGTTGAAGTGGTCTTACAAACAAGGTAGCATAGTGTGCTAGGAATAAAGCTTTGCTGAACTTGTCACTTCTTTATCTGAGGTACACAGGAGAATGTTTGTTTGGGTTGTGTAATTCTGTGAGGCGTGACGTTGGTACTTGGAGGCTCTGGCCTCTGCGCTAAGACCCTGAACACGCTGCGAATTTGCATTCCAGATCTCCTTGACAATTTAGTGTTTGCCACATCTGCCTTTCGCAGAAGTGAACTGTTTAAGGTTGCTTCCTTTTCCTCTTCACTGATGTCTTATATGTCTTAACAATTCTTTTTCAGTTTATAATCATGAAGAGAACTCATTTTACATACATCATGATATTATCTTGCCTGCTTACCCTCTAAGTGTGGAATGGTTGAATTTTGATCCTAGTCCTGATGAATCAGTAGGTAAAGTACAAAGGATACTGTAAATGTCCAGTTAAATAATTTTTACTTGAAAAATATATAAATGTGATGTTGTCACTAAATAATTTCCTCCAGTGGTACGAACAGGAATAAAACCAAGATACTAAGATGGAAAACTGCATATCAGTATATCAGGTTTTTTGGTTTGGTGATACAGTCACCTTAGTGATGCTGCCATAACAAGTTATTTGACTAAAACACTGGTTTTATTACAAATAATTAAGTTACTGTCAGCTAGGACACCAGAGCGAGCTCTTCTCTAATATGCTTTATTTTCCATTTGGAAATGAGAAGTTGCTTTTGTTCAAACTCATTATGGCCAATGCAATTGATTAACTGTAAAACGCTGCAAAAATCATATATATTTGTGTATTTAGTAACCTTTTTCCTGCATTTTACAGATACTTCTTTTTTTTCACCTTAGTACAGGGAATGTGGTTTTGGTTTTGTTTTCCTTTAAAAAAACCAAACAAAACATGTGGAGCTTCATGCAGCTTCTTTGAACAGTTACTTGTCCTGAAGGGGAAGTGTATTGGAGAGGAAGTAAATGTTTTTCTGGCAATCTCTGCTGTCAGTTGATATTTTTAAATTGCTCCTTGTCAGTTATAAACATCAGATATGTTCAAATAGAAGATTCTGGCACATAAGTCTAAGTTTTACTTAAAGAAATAAACAGCAGCTGGATTGCCAAATGCGCTGTTTCGTAACTAAATAAATATGGTTGCGTTTGGGTTTCTGCTTGTAGGAAATTATGTTGCGGTGGGTAACATGACCCCGGTTATTGACGTTTGGGACCTTGATGTAGTAGAATCCTTAGAACCAGTCTTTTCTCTTGGAGACAAGAAAGAGAAAAAGAAGAAAAAGAAAGGAAAGAAAGTAAGTATTACAAAACAGTTTTTCTGGTTGGATGGAGGAAACTTAGAGCAAGGATGATGTCATTATTACTTTTTTCTTACAATGAAAAAATCATAGATAACGTGGTTTAATTCCGTCTGTCATGTTGAGCGATGGTGTTTAGACAGGTTACAGAAGGTAATGCCATGGTCATCTGCAATAGGGTAAAATTGGTATCTTCCTGTGACTTGGAGTTGAAAAGGCATTGAGCGATAAAGGACAAGGCTGACACTAATAAAACATGTTTACTCAGGATTTACCTCTGTTAGCTTTAAGCATCTTTTAAGCTAGCCATCGAGATTGCCTGAGGTGAATGCATAGAGACACACCCGGAGAATGGTTGAGTTTCTTTTAGTGGACTGCAGAGAAAACCTGAGCTACCAAAGAGGAAGACTGAGGTTTAGACTGGGTGCAAAGTTATGTGAGAGGAATCTGACCCTCATTGTAAGCCTGAATGTGCTGTTATGATTTGTCCAAGTTCTTTGGTATGTAGAACAAGTATGGAAGATAACATGAGTTAAGTTTTCTGGATTTTGTGTATAGTAGGTGCTTCAGGAAGTGTGTAAAGACTCCCTAGAGTAAATAGGGAAGGTGAACCCTGGGTATGTAGCTAATCTTTGTGTCCCAAAGGAAGGAGCACTGCAGTGTTAGTCAGCTAAAGAACCACTCTGTGCAATTGTCACAGGGGGGTTATTTCTTGAGCTCTCAGACCTTCTGGTTTTAAAACCAATAGGAAAAATATTCTTGGAAGGGGAATTTGTTTTGTGAAACTTACTTCTGAAAATCACTGAGTTACCAGAATTGCTGTTGAAGATACCATTCATAAATGTTACCTCAATTGGAAATGCTAATTATTCTCTGTATGGGTAATTAAAGCCTGGAATTAAGAACAGGAGAGGAATGGGATGGTTTATGGGTGGTTTCCAATTGCTGTCTCAGTAAACTTTGAAGCTTAACCATTTTAAATTAGAATTTGTAGGAGCTGGCAGTTACAAAGACCTAAAGCTCAGTTGGAAGGAGGGAGAAGGATCTGCCAGAAGTGTTTAGAAAGAAGCTGAAGAAGCTGCACAGTAGCTGGAGACAATGAAATTTCTTCTGCTAGCCTGAAGGGAGTAACCAGTTCTGTAAGCCCACCGGCTGCAAATGGAGCAATCTGAGACCTGGGGTAGGACGCAAGGTGCAGGTACTGCAGAGACAGTTCTATCAAAAGCCTTGTTGCAGCGAGTGACAGTAATTTAAAACATGAAGTTTTTGTGAAGGTGTTGAGGAATTCGTACTAATGTGTTGTAACGCCTGATTTCCATTGAAGCTGTAATTTTCAAAAGTCTGTTTATGTTGTATCTGCCTACACAGAGTTTATCTTCAGAAGGGACAGTGGAAGGACATACTGATGCTGTGCTTGATCTCTCGTGGAATAAACAAAGCAGGTAAAAGAATACTTGAACAACAATGGATGGCTACAAATTTGCATACTTAATTAAGCAGACATTTTTCACACAAAAATCATATGTAGTATAACATGGAGCTTGAAAGCAATGCTGAAATATATCAATTCTCAAAAATACAAACACTCCCGCTTGGATTTTTTTAACTAGAAGTCCTGATTTATTTTTTTAAAAACCGATGTATTGCTGCAGATCGCTGTATTTGCAGGTTGTCCAGATGAGGGCAGGGCTAAGGTGGGTCTAAGCCATTTGATAAATCTGTGACGTTGAAGTCCGATGCACAAACTGGAGAAAGGCTGCCCTGATCTGTGCCAATCTGCCAACGGCCTAAAACACCATTTCAACAGACGGATTTATAGAAGGAAGTCCTTGCTGTGCTGTTTTTTTTTTTTCCTCTGGCTTTTGCTCCAGAGCTGTGAACAGAAAAGAGAGTGTCAAAGCCCTAGTAGCACAGTTACAGAAATACCTCTGACATCTGAGTTATCCTAGGCAGAGGGAGTTCCCTGTTGCCTGCATGAACTAGCAACAAAGTGCTGCTCTTGAACCAGCGCAAAGCTGGCCCTTCTTGGGGGAGAGGTCAAGGACAATGTGCTGACTGAAGTAAAGACGCTGCTGGTTTTTATCGCCTACGTGGTTGTTAACGGTTCGACTGCCAGAGGATCCTCAGCATGGGCCTTGAAATGGTTCCAGTCAGACACAGGCTGATTTTTTTTTTTTTTAGTGGTGTGTGGGTTGGTTTTTTTTTTTTGCTGCTGTCATAAATGCCTCTGAAGATACACACAGTCAACTCCACGTATTCCTGATGAGCAGGTGTAAGGCTTCACTTGTAGTGCTTCGTTATCTAAATAGTGAAGAAGGAAACACATAGACGTAGAGTAAAAGTGCATAAATTGCACTCTTACTTTACAGTGTGCTGTCTGTTGTTCTTAAATTACACATATATGCACAGAGTGTGGTAGTGATTATTCCATCAGTCTTACAAAAAAGTAGCTTTCAAGTACCTGGAAATGGTTGTCTGGTGAGAATATAGAGACAAGTCACAAAAATTGTGGCTCCACTAGTAATAGTCTGGAATGCGTAATTCTGTAATGTGCCGAGTTATGAACTCATTGATACTGGTAGATCTTTCAGGAAATAAAAACAACCTTGAAGAGGGAAGTTTATGGGCAAAGCAAGGAACTCCTTGAAGCAGCTTATATTTAAATGTTTTTTTTTTTAAGCAAGACTTGCTGTGACAGCTCTCTATAAATAACTTTCTGCCTGTAGGTCATCATGGTGTTACTGTAAAATGTTCTCATAGCCTTCACTATGCATTTTCTTAGCTTTGTCTTGTAACATTGTTTGGGAGAACAGTGTTTCCAGGAGAGTGTTAGCTCTTTCAGTCAGAAACAGTTGGTTAATATAAAAAGAAAAAGGTGAAGAGGGAGCAGTTTCAATCAGAAACAGCATGTTGAGGTAATAGATACGTTTTTAAGAGCAATGGAGCAGTGGTACTGTGTATTTGACAGGCCTTTGGGAATGTTTTGGGTTTTTTCTGATTATCTTCTAAACTGGGCTGTTAACACAGTTGGTCAAACTTAAGTTGAAATGTGGGGTCTGTAAACTAGTTAAAATGTTAGTGGTTCCTTTCAGCATTCTATGAAGGATGCACAGTGTTGAGTCTTCAGCAGTTATATAAACACTTAGATATTAAAGAGCAAAATATTTTAGAAATGGGTTTGTCTGCTCTTGGCTGACTGTTGAATAGAACTAAGTTGCATAGGTAATGTTTAAAAATACTATCTTTAATGTCAAAGCAAAGGAAGTGCTTAAAAGCCTTTCTTAATTTGTTTTGTTCAAGAAATCTTCCAGTAAATGGTATTTTAAGTGGTGTTGAGGGAGATATACAAGCAAAACTGTCAATGTTATTACTGTAAGTATTGTACTAACGTAATGTAATACAGTCTGTTTGTAGTCGCTGCTTGTAGCTTACAATTACCTTCGGGGAGTTATCCCTCAGGCTTGAGATATGTAGTCTATAGACCAGAGTGTACTTGATCTCAGAATCAAGCTGTGTATGCATTTGGGATTTTTTGACCATTATTTGTTTGTATCTGTATAAAGATTTTTAAAACTTTTTTTTTGATCCATTATCAGGAATGTTTTAGCAAGTGCATCTGCTGACAATACTGTGATTTTGTGGGATATGTCTGTGGGTAAGCCAGCGGCCAGCCTGATGCTACATACAGACAAGGTATGTAATAATGGCTGTGTTTCTTCCACTGTAGAACACGGGAAAAAAAACCCTGCAGTTTTTCATTAGCTGCTTGATAGTGAACGCTTAGAACAACAATTCTGTAATTTCTAACAATGGTGCGGAATTCTTTTAATTTGTGAATTAGTTGCTTTTGTGAACCACACTGTATTTGCTTTTAAAAATGTTAAACTTACCCTTTAGAAAGTTTTCAGAGAGGTACAGCAGTTTTTAAAATGCTTTTTGTGTGAAGGCCCTGATGGTTGGGAATCTAATTGTGCAGGTATGAGCTACAAAAAATAGATCTCTGAGCGTAGGTCAAACTGTAACTCTCTCTTTAAGGAAACATGAGTGTCAGTTACAGTTTGTTCTAGGTAAGAAAGGTCTAAAATAAATGGTACTAAAATACTATAGTGATAGGGACTTCATAAGTTAATTAATCTCACAGTAATTAAAATGTGAAAGTAAGTTATTAATAGCTATAACCTTATTTTGCTGTTAACAAAGTCACTGCCCTTGGCGAACTCCCGATTTCCATTTTTTGCAAACATCTGCATTTTTCCCTAGACTGGAAGCAGCTATTCTTTTACTTCCCTCCAGCTTATTTTTTTTTAATATCTAGGGGAGAAAGGGGGCACGTGGTTCTGTTCAGATAAATTATATTGGAAAATATCTTGTTTCCACTCGATGGAGTGTTTGAAATAAAAATAATGTGCATCTCTTGCACTGTTTTGTGAAAAATGTGAGTATCAACAAGCTTAACAGGAGGTTTTTTTTGGGGAAAATGTGCTGGTTTTGGGGAGGGGGGGCTGTGCTCAGTTTGTTCAAAGAAAGTTCCTCTGTGTGTGTGTGTGTTATCTCAATGCTTATTTTTAAAATAAAATCTTCTGTTATCTAGGTCCAGACACTGCAATTTCATCCGTTTGAAACTCAGACCCTTATTTCTGGATCTTATGATAAGTATGTCAGGGTAATATTTTCAAATGTTACACATAGGGAGGGTATTAGTATGGAATTAAGCCCGTTAAGTTGCCTCATGTTTTCTTTTTCATTTGCTTATAACTGTGCCAAATTTGCGTAATGCTGTTATTTTTTTCCAGTGAGATAGCCAGGTTTGTATGTGGCCAAAATGTAGTTTTCCTTAGCGCTTTCTCAGGACTAGCCAAATCCTTTAACCGTCTGGACGGACATTTTCTGTGCCAGGTGTCTGCTGCAAACTGAATTTATTTCTTAATTTTGCCTTACGGCATTTTCTGCGTTGGGAATGTGTCACTGGTCGTTCCTGTGAAAACTTGTCTAGGTTTTGCCAAACTGCAAGACCAGGGTGGGGGCATGAGGGACCAGTGCGCTCCCTGCAGCCTCTACTGATGGGCACGCCATGGCCGAAGTGTAACGGGCAGGCTCCTGCGATGGCAGCCTGGAGATGCGGCGCAATGGTTTGTGTCAGCCCACTGGGCCGAGCTCTGCAACTGCCAGTTCTTATAAGCCTTGTCAGCCAAAAAACTTCCCCTGTTCTCCCATCTCATAGGGGCAACTTTTTAATTTTGTTCTATAATCGTGATTTTCTTTATTGATTTTTTTTTTTTTTTTATTCTGCTTTTAAGACTTTGTCCTTGTGTTAAAATATTTATAGACTTGTCAATCTTTAGCCAAGCCTTTATGTTCTCAGGCTTCTACTATGCTTTTGCTACATCTGCTTAAGTGAAAGTATTGGCAAAAAAATTTTTATTGTTGCTAGGAACCTGCTTCTGTCCACTTTCCTCCCCCTTGACTTCCTTTGGTAAAAAGTCCAAGCACTGAGAACAGCTACTCGATCCCTTTTAACTAGCCCTTTGGTACCATGGGCACTATGAACCAGTGTTCTACCTATAAACTAGTAGACCGCCTTTGTGGATTTTTCCCATAAAGCCTCGTGGGACCACAGGCTATTCAATGAATATTGGCAGATGCCTTCATAACCTGAAAGTCAGTCTGTTTAAAAATTGTGTCTGAACTAAAACTTGGTGTAAAACACCTGGTAAAAGAGCTGAGAAATCTAGATCACATTTCTGTGGCTCTAAGTATAGGATAGGAGTGGGAGTGGGTTACACTGTGGATGTAAATTGTGGTGCGATGTTGTGGGAGTGACATCATCCCTCCTTTCATGCATTTGCATCCGGGAGCTTTTTGAGTTGGGACAGATTTTGCCACCACTGGGCTGAGCACATGCCTGCAAAGGACCCACTAACTCCCACCCACTCTTTCTCTTTTTTTGGAGTAGCATTTCCCTAACCATTTGTAAAGGTTAATTTATTTCTTTTTATTAAAGCATGTTTGAAAATGTTTGTATATGTATGACAAATTGATTTCCTAATTAGTGCATTATTTTTGAACAGTCATTACTTGACTTCACTGAAGTGTGTTCATAATTAAGTGACGTATTTGCATAATTATGGTCTCCTATGTGATAAGTATCTTACGTGTTGAATAAATTCAAGCTCTGTTTGGTTAGTTTCAATAGAACGGCTGTTTGTAACCAAGATGAAACTTTAAAGTATATGGAAAAAGCTTGTGCTTATCTGAGAAATCTTCATCCGTTACTGAGCTGGAAGACTAGTGAAGTTGTCTCCATTTTAATTTTTGAATCGTAGTTTACACGGACCTTCTGTAGATGCCAGCGGTAAAACAAACTACGTGAAGTGTTCTGCCTTGATTTTTATTTTAATTTCCTGCCCCTTTCTCCCACAGATCAGCTGTGCTGTACGATTGCAGAAACCCACAAGATAACCACCGAATATGGCGGTTCAGTGGCCAGGTTGAAAGAGTAACTTGGAATCATTTTTCACCTTGTAATTTCTTAGTGAGTACGCGCTCTTCTATTCTTGGTCTGTGGACTGTTGCCATTTCAATCAACCTGTATTTTTGTGTTCATAATGTTTCTGAATCATATAGTGGAGCTGATGGACAGTTGGACTGTTGGCGTTGCTTACTGTAAAAATGCAGTGTCTGGGAGGATGGTTTTAGGTAGCTTTTTCAACAAGTATATCGAGACCAGCTACTTACTTGGTATCTTCATTATGACAGTAGAAAAGCAACTGATGCTGATGCTTTCTCACTCCAGAGGTGGCATCTTTGCCGTGTTGTTGTAGTGTTCAGTGGCTGCGATATATTTTCCTTTGCATAGTTGCGGTTGTATCTCAGGTAATGAGGCAATTGCAGCTGAGAAGTAGTTAATTAGAACAAAGCTCATGAATATTAATTCAGTATTTCAGATCGGCGCTAGAGCGCACTGTCCTCCTAGCCGGTATAGAGTAAAAATACGTTGGTTTTGTTGAGATTTTTATTATAAAAACTTTTAAGCAGAATTTAAAGCCAACTCTTTTTTTATCTCAGTGGCTGGCTAGTTCTCTGTGGCTTTGTGCATACAGCCAACAAAGGCAGTTGCTCAGTTCTGTCGGGTTTATGGTGTAGATCTCTCTCGCTGTGATGACAGTTGGCTTTGCACAGGGCTATTATGTAGCCACTGGATGGCTCCATAAACTTTGAACTGGCAGTTAAGAGACTAAAGGCTCGGTATTTCATTACCTAACATGAAAGCTGAGCTTAGTAGTGCAACGATCTTCAAAATACAATTTAAGAAATTTGTACAGGATTAAGACTTCCATGTAAGCCAGTGCAGCATAGTTTAGGTACGTAGAATAGCTCAGCGCCAGCTGGATGGAGTCTGACTTTGGGGATGCAGACCTGCGTGCACTGTGTGGCATGCCCTACTGGGAAGCAGGGTATGTCTGTCTTGGATCACGGGGATTTACTGGAGTGCGGGTGTTATCTCCTAGGAGCTTTTTTCCAAACGAGTGACTATGGCTGCTTGTTTTTAAAATGTTGTGCTTTCCTTAGGCAAGCACGGAGGATGGCTTTGTGTACTGTCTGGATGCTCGTTCTGATAAGCCACTGTTTACTCTGAAAGCTCACGATGAAGAGGTGTCAGGTAAATCGTGTGTGCGTTGTGTTTGTCCCCAGTGGCGAGGCACATCTGGAAGATGCCTTTAACCAGTATGGCTGAGGCGGTAGTGATTCCTTGCTTGACAAGTGAGAGCTGTGCGTACTCATCACGGGTAGCTGGCACATGAGACAACAGTGAACTTTCTCAGTGAATGTCATGAATAAGCAGGTCAAAACAGATCTGTTCACATGGGTCACACTCCCTCTGTTTTTTTTGGGTGAGGAAGAAAAAACTATGGAATCTGGTCCAGGATTATGAACTATAATGTTTACCTCCTCTATCCATAATTATTTTATACTGACAGTCACTCTGGAGATGATTTAGGTATGGCACATGGGAAGGTTTTCACATTGCCTCCTTTAGGCTACTTTAATTATTTGACCAGTGCAGGAGCTTCTAAAAAGCAACTTGGAGCACCTGGTGAAGTGTCCAAAATTGGAGATCGTATGAATGTGCCCCATTGTCTTGGATAGCAAAAGAGATGGTCTTTGGCAAATGAATGAAAAAAACTACTTGGGCAAGCCAGGTGATGTGAAGCAAGAAGCAGAACAACAGCCTCTTTGCACTGTTACTGCTGTTGGCTTGAGAGACAGAACAGGGCTACGTGAAGTCAGTTTGCCCTCGCTACAGGGAGCAGTGGCAGCACGAAACTTTCATTACTGGTTTGCTCCTTTGTGCTGGAACAGAGTCTAGTAGTGTGAGGAGAATGTTGGGTTTGTTCTCACGATTTCGCTTCAAAATGTGTCCTCACCTCTGTGAAACAGTGGTTACCTGGTGCACTTACACTGCTGCACTCTTCATCTTCCAGGGCTACAACTAAGCAGTCAGATCAAAGGGTGCCTGGTGACATCATCTGCTGACAAATGTGTGAAAATTTGGGATATCCTGGGAGACAGACCAAGTTTAGTCCATTCCAGGGATATGAAAATGGTAGAGTAATACTCATTTCTTGATTCCAAGAAAGTTTATATATATAAACTATGTCTGTTTGTTCTTTTTTGTCTAGCTTGGGTCTTGTTTTGCCTTTCTTTTAGGGGAAAAAAAAAATCACATCTGTGCATGCTGGGTAAATCGTTCTCATTACGGTGCAGTATTCAATTCAACACCTCATTGGGAGACTGCTGCAAAGCCTCAGACCTGAGTATCAGTGTTCTGAGTAGGGCTGTAGGTGCTCTGATGTGTATCTGCCAGGTTCAAGACAAAGATGCAATTTACTGTTTGTAATTAGCGGCTCTTGGCTTTAATTTTGTGTCTTTACAAAATAAGTTTCAGGAAACCTAGCTTCCCTGTGAAAGTATTTTCAGATGACAAATTCATTTTAGGATTATATTAAAAAAAAAAAAAAATCCTTCTCTTTCTTCCCCTCACCCTCCCAGGGTGTTATCTTCTGCGCAGCTTGCTGCCCTGACTTCCCGTTTGTTTTCGCCTTTGGAGGAGAGCGAGAAGGGCTGCGTGTTTGGGATATAAGCAAGATTTCTGCAGGTAACGTTCTTATTTCTTTGAATCTTGTGGTTCTCCCCTTGTCCCCAGGATGTATTTGTATATTCAGTAATGTATTGTGGCTCTGAAGGAAACTGTAGGTTAATATTTAAAATACCCCAAGACTGCGTATATGTTCACGTTTTCAGCTTCAAAAAATGTGCATTTTTTCCTAACTTGGAGAACTGTGTTTGTCACATGATTTATTTTCTTGTAGCTGAAGTGTAATACCCGATTTCTTATAATACCTGTGTTTTACTTTTTTATTTCATGTTCCTGGTGTAATCAAGTATCACATTTTTGAGTCCTTGTAGGAATGAAAGTGAGGACTGGTTTTGATTGGTGGTTGTAGCTACACATAACTAAATGGCATGAATTTTTGGAGAAGGCTTTTAAGAGCTTGGTGGAAACCAGAGAGACTAAAACTAGAAATAAATTATTTAAACTTAATGTTTTGCTCTACAAACCCCATCCATTTCACAGTACTTAGGTACAGGAATTATGCACAGGGAAATCTCTAGAGATGCTCTGGGGGAGAAATAACAGGACTTGCAATTTAAGTATCGTGTGTGTGAGATTGTTCTGACATGTAAGCTTCAACTCCCTGCTCAGGGTAAGGGGAGAAGCTTTGAAACGGCACCGGGTTAGGATTTCCATGCCATTCCACGATGCTCACTCACCATGCTATACCTGCTGTACTGCTCTTGTTCCTGGGAGATTAACGTGTAAGCAATCCCCTGTCTTGCAGTGAATGAAGTTTTTGGAAACAGAGAGAGACTTGCTCTGGCTACTGCCAGCTCTGCGGCTTGCAGCTCCGTGGCCGGCGGCAGCAGCAGCAGCAGCAACGATGTGGAGACAGCAATGGAATCGTGATGGACCAAACATCCAAAAAATCAAAGTAATTACTGGGACTAGGACTAATGTGTGTTCTACAAATCCCCCCATTTGGTGAGAGTTCATAGAAATTACCCGAGCGTCTTGCTGTCAGCAGGCTGCTTCGTCTGGGACAAAGAAACACTGTGATGTGGTTGAGCTCTAAGTCAGCAGTTCTAAGTTCCTGCTGCTGTTACTGGCTTTGAAAGATGAAATCACTCGCTTTTGCCTGAGATTATGCTCCCTGCAACAGGGGCCACTATGTGTAAAGCTGATATATAAAATGAAACAGTCACTAGAAAAGCATTCTGCTGCTACCAGAACTTTCTTGAATACTGCAAAGAAGGCTCTAATGTTCTAAGAGCATAAGGAAAATACTTCAGACAAGTTGTATAATAAATAAACAAAAGCTGAATGAGATGACAAGTGTAAATAGATATTTACCCTTGGTTTGAGGCTAGATTTACAGATTTCTAATACAGATTTTAAAAGTTCTATGTAACTTTTTTAAGTCTCAAGAGTATTTCTTGGGCAGTAAGTTGGGAGTCCCCGAGTAGAATCTTGAAATGTAACACCTCAGATCACCAACATCAAACCAGAAATATCCCAGCTCTGTCCTGTCAAGATCAAGGGTTTTTTTTCCCCCTGGTTCCACAGCACCTGAAGCTTATTGATGTTGCCTGTGCATTGGGTATTTCTTCAAGCTCCAGAGGTAGCGTGTTTAAAGCGAATTTGAACTGAAAGAAGGAGCTGCTACTCGGAAGAGGATGAGAGGCTGTCGGGACATAAAGCGAGGGCAGGGATCTCAGCTGGGCACTGTCAGTGGTGAACGCTGTCTGTGTTACCTACTCATGTTCTTAACTCCTCCCAGGCATTTCTGCCTGAAACCTGAAGGCACAGAGGAACATTCTGAGTACCAGCCTAACCACTGACTTAAACGCTTCGTTTATAGCATCGGGAACCTAGTCAAGGAATGTGACTCAAAACAATTTCCTCACATTTAAAATGGACACCCAAGTGCCTTACCCCAGGCCAGAAGTTAAATGATGCTCTTATCCTCCTGTGTGAAGTGCTTCCCTTTCCACACACTGGAAGGTGTCCGGTGAAGTGCTGCTGCTGCAAAAGGGCTCTGGGTATTAAAGCAACTGCAGTCAAAGCAGCAGGGCATGTAGTTGACAAGATCTTACCGCTGCTTTCCGCCCTAGCTTGCTGTAACTCCTTCTGGTGAGGTAAAGCAGCTGAAGTGTAGCAGCACAGACTGCAGATGGGGAAGAGGCAGGGCCGAAGGTTTCCTTCCCATCCCTCGAAGTAAAATGGCTGCTTCTAAATCCAGTTCAGCTGTTTCTAGTCTGGCGACAGGGGTTTAGGAGGGCTCTGCAGGAACCAAGGATATTTTGGATGTGTTGGGATTTCTGCCTCAATCCTTTCTCTGCCAAGCAACCATGGACAACAAGTGAACAACTGCTTTTGTGAAGCTTCAGAAGGTGAAAAGCACCAGAACCACCTCTGTTCAAGTACTCTCCACTGAAAAGCTACACGTTTTTCAAAGCTTTCATTTGAAATAAAGGCTTTGTGTTAAGCTCTTTGAGGCTAGTCATTTCTGTTACCTCTGCCTCTGGTGTTAAGTGGCACTGTAGCTCTGGAAGTCGCTTTTTGTTTTAGGAAGAAATTGCTTTTGCACTAAACGAAACCCCTCAAGAGGTCTTTCTGGTGCTTTTTTATTCCCATACTGATCTCAGAGGGTGAGCATTATGCATTTTCAGGTTTGAAGAACCCAGGGAGCTCTCTAGGAACTACAGCATACAGGGAGAGGTACAGCTGAGCTTAGGCCATTTAGGGCAAGAATTGGGATGCTCCAACTGCCTTGTCAGAGAACAGAGCTCAGCTTGCTCTTCCTTTGCAGCACAGCCTGAGGAGCCACACAGCAAATCTACAAGGTTTAAAGACAAGTTCTTAGCTGAGCCTGTTCATGGAGGTGCTCCTATCCATACCTTGTCCCAGGAAAGCTTGGGAGAGGCAGATGATGAAAAAGTATTAACTTCTGTTAGCATCATTATCAGAAATAGGAACCTTTTTTTTTTTTTGGAGTATGTAAATATTTTAAAAGAACATTAGAAAAGAAGGAGCCACATTTTTAATTTTTTAAAAGAAAACAACAGACTGAAATACATCTTCATCCATAAATAATATTAGCAGCAAACCCTCCCATCACTCTAGGTGGTAAAAGGTTTACAGCACAAGTAATACATACTGTAAACACTGGTCATCTGTAAGCCTCTTCCTTGCTGAGTCTATACAGGCTTTACCTCTTCACCTGCTTACATCTTCTAGTGAATGAGAGTGAGAAGAGGCAATAACTGTTCTCCAAAAGCCAGTATTTGATTTCTGTAGTGGGGTAATTGCTTTGTCTGCAAATCCAGTTGTCACCAAACTACATCCTTCAGTTAAAAAGTAGTAAAAAGAAAAATGCATCAACTGCTGCCACCATTTTTTTGTTTGTTTTTTTTCCTTATTGTCATGGCTCTGGCAGTTAAGGACAGTTGGCTTACAGGTCACTGCAATCACTCGCCTACACTTCGGGTTTGTGGCTCTTTACTCAAAGGGCTATGCAAGGTGTTGTGTCATGTATCCTGGCACTGGATGGATCAGTATCTGATTTGGAAAAGAAGTATGCACAGTGTGTGTGAAAAAAGCTCCTTGCCTCATAGATCCTTCTTAGCAACTCTTCACTTGTATGTGCATGATCCATTCGCATTCAGTGTTTTGGCTACAGAGTTTATTAAGCGGTGGTAGTACGGAGACCAAAACAGACGGAAAACTCCTCATTTGACGTATGTTGTTGACTGGGGAAACAAGGAGGAGTTGTTTTTTTCCTTCCCCACTTTTAACATTAAGAAAATTTGCCTCTCTCTTCTCTTCATTTATGTCCAGAGAGGGCATCACCTGTTGAATAGACTCCATTGTTAATCCTACAGTCTTCAGTCCTCATAGAGTCTATTAATTCCTCCTCTGAATCCTCCTCCTCTTCCTCCTCTGGGGCTGACAGGCTGGATGTGGGGCCTTTACATATTTTTAAGTGGCGAGTGAGGTGATATTTGGTTAGATAAGCCTTGGAGCATTTTTCACAGACATAGTCCCTCTTTCCTTCATGTGAATTGAGATGCTTTTTTAGGTGATTTGTCCTCAAAAACAGCTTGTCACACTTGGGGCACTTGATCTGCCGTTCTCTGCAAGACACAAAAAAGTTACAGTTTGCTCCTGCCGCAAGGCAGCTGATACTGTATTAAATAAACAGTGGGGGGGTGGTGACAGGAAGGGTCCAGCTTGCTTCTAAATCTTACTTGCAATATACTTGAAGGAGAAGCAGACCAGAAGTAACAGCACTACTGTGTGTACACTAAAGTGTAAATACTGCTCAGCTTTGTCTCACACAGGACACACACAAAGCCCCTCTTCTCTGTGCCCTCCCCCAGCATCACTGGGAAAAGTCACGCTTTTTTGGATTGACCGCTAGCTTGCAACCAGCTGGTTTTCTTTCCTGATGATAAATTAAAGAAAGAAGAAAGAATTCTACAGGGGTTTTGTTTGGTTGGTTTTTACCAAACTCTGGTTAAGCTCCATGTTTTGGCAAGGGCGAAGACCTTGCCATGGTGGAAATGTTAGTCTCCCCCCCCTTCCCACCCTGCATAAAGGAGGGGGGGGGGGAAACCCAAAAAGAAAACAAAGCTGCTGCCTGTTAACAACCCTCAGGCTATAAATGCTAAACAGAGGCTTAGCAGACTGCAGCAGTCAGATTCTGTAACTGTGCAAAACACCTCTCAGCAGCAGTGCTCCTGGCTCTGGCCATAAGAACAAGCAGCAGAGCAAGTCTGTCTGTCTGTCTGCCTCTTGCTCATGCTAGCTGCACTATGCTGTCTGCCAGGCAGCATGACAGAAGCAGCGATCGATTCCAAGTGAGTACAAGAAGCAGATGCTGAAAACAAAATAAGCAGAGGGACCAGCTTTGGACAAGCAGCCTTTAAGGGAGGACCTTGGATGAGGAGTAACTAAACAAACAGGATGGAGAGATTCTGACAGCAAAAGAAAAGATCTGGCCTGGCAGACAGCTGAGGGGCTGGGAGGAGGAGGAGGACCTGGAGGGGGTGGGGATCTGCCCTCACCGTGGGCTGCAGGAGGAGCAAGTGTGTGAACGAGACCGGGGGCGGGGGTAAGGTAAGAGCTGGGAATGGCTGCACCCCCACCCCTGGCGCAGAGAGGGAGACTTCACTAACCAGCTACTCGGAGAGAACAGCATTGAGGAGTTTATGATTTTTCTGTTGGGACGTGGCCTGGTCAACAGAGAACTAAATGTAAATCAACTAACCCCCTTGCTCTCCAAAATGATAAGCAGTCTGGAATGCCATTTCACAAGACAAGGTGCATGCCTGGAATTTACTGTGTCAGGAAAATACTGCAAACACTACAACAGGACAACTTCAGCCAGTAACAAGGAGTTTGTCCAGACTGACTTCTCTGTCATTTTAGAGGATGAGCCTATACACCTTAGGCCAAACTATTTGGAAACTGGAGATTCTCTCCTGGGCTGTTCAGCTTCATGATTTATTGTGTTGGCCAGTCCCACACAGCCTGTGAGCTCACTTACTGCGTGTGAGTGAGTACGTGCTGCTTGAGGTCCTGCCTCCGCATGAATAGCTTTTCACAGTAATCGCACTTCAGATTCTTCTCCCCCGTGTGGATGACCATGTGCGATTCCAGGTGAGCCTTCTGGGTGAAGGATTTGTCGCAGAGGGTACAGCGGTAATTCTTCTGACCTAGGATGACATACATACACCCACAAATTGACAGTCAGTGTCCCAAGAAATACAGGAAGCAAACAAGTCTGACCAGTTTGGAAAAACAAGATTTTTACCCTGAAGAAAGGCAGATTCTTTGTGAACAGGACCTGTTTCCTCCTGCAGTTCCTTCAGACTCAGCCTAAAGGCCTACATAACTCCAGAGTTAGCTATGCAAAACCCAGGCATCTGACTTCATTTCATTATTCCTAAAGCTTTTCATCCCCCACCCCATACCCCCAAGCCAAACAACTCACTTCATGCTACTGTTTCAAACCACTGAGCCCATCATGTGCCGCATGGTTCTGCACTCTGTCCTTCTAAGCACCACTGATTCCTCTTCCTACAGCATTTGTGGTCACTCGGCCTTTCCTGTAAGACAGACTTTCTGCTC